GTAGAGGTAGATAGTAGAGGTTAAGGTGGGCATCAATTATGTTTTGATTGGAATTACTCAGACATACTACTGATCGGATGCCTTTTTAGAGTCGAATTTAAGTAAGGATTTCTCATAAAATTATAAAGTGGAAAGGTAGAAAGGTAGGTAGAAAGCTTAGCTCCTCTAGCTCCTCTGTGAGGTGGCGCGCTAAGCATGGTCATAGAATCGCCAATAATTTGAAGGAAGAAAAAATTAATTGTTGAACTCCCTTACCAAGGCTGCCCTTTATGTACTTCTGAATCACAGGAGATTTCCAAAAGTTTTCATAAATTTTTTAGGTCATATTGTTTCTATTGTAAATTACTGCCTCTCCATGCCTAATCCAATAAAGTAGGTAGCAAGCAATAAATTCTTCGTCCAACTCGGAACCGCTGTTTCAACGGTGCCTTTATATTTTTGAAACCCACTGTATGTCAGCCAGCTGACCTAACACATTGACGACATTGAGACGCGGTAACGCGTCTCACTTTGCGCACCTCGTTGGACATTGAGACGCGGTTGCGCGTCTCACCCTTGTCATCCCTTTTTCTAGCGTATGCGGGGATTCTTCCCAATTTGCTTGCTCTATTCTATGGATTACAACATAACATAACTGTAAACGACATGGGTCACGGTATGATCAAATATGCTCCAGTTTAGCAGAAGTTTTTCAAGCACAGCGGAATTGGCAGCTCGGTTCATTCCTCGTTTTCTTCCTATTCTCATGAACATGTCAGTGAGAAAGGGTAGTGAAAGTAAATACAAACTTAAAGGGATAGAAAAATATATGTTTCACTTGGCACATCCACATCGAAAATAGTTTTGGCATCCACTACAGAGAAAAGGACTGAAATTCCTTTTCATTACCATTACATGTTCTTTTGATCGGATTTCGCTACTATATCCTCTATTACCTTCTACGCATTGAATATTGCTGAAATGGTTTTGTACCAGTGATGCTTTCCAAAAGTTATCATTCAATAATTTACGATTGCCGAGGTGCGGCGGCCGCGCTCGCAAAATCGGCCCTGTCCCACGTGGCCAAAAAAGCCAAAACGCGCGCTGTCGTCAATGTGTTAAAGGAATCAATCGTCAACTGAAAAGGTATTCCTTCTCATCCGCTGTACGGCATCTACTACCGTGGACGAGACCGAAAGAAGCGACGTTTTACTCTCTCGCTTGAGGATTCCCGCGTTTGCTTTGAAAAGAAGCAATCGATCCCATTTTCGAGTTGACCTCAGTCATCGAATTTTTTATCTTCTAGATGACGCTTCAGGGCACTAATTACCCATAATTAGAAGCGGCTAAGCCCGACGAGTAAGCCAAGTACTGCGAAATTTCCCATCAAAATCCATGATCTTTTGATATGTAATCCTTTGTCACATGTAGATATGCGTGGGGGTAGGGTAGCGATATTGTGAACTTCAGAGTGAACTTTACACATGGCTTCGGTCAAATTTCAGAGGTACTTAGAGCCCACGGCCGATGTCAGACTTTGCGAATCGCGCGATTCGCTTCTAGCGATTCGCGCGATGCGCTACTAGCGATTCGCGCGATTCAATAGCGTCCGCAGGTCGCGTTGGCGGCCAGCCAATTGAGTGCAAGTTCATCACTACCGGTCACGCATTGCGCAGTTGTCGCCGCGCATCAGACCCGTTCTCTCGCCGAGCTTCACACTTCTTTTGCCATGCTCCGAAGCGTCTGCAGTCCTCCGCCCATACAACTCGTGACGTTGAGTGAATCTCTACAGACGTCGCCCCGTTTGCTGACTGCGCAACTCGCCAGGGTTGAAATCGTGGTCCGCGGTCACGTTGCGGTACCAGCCAATCGAGTGATCCACACGCCGCGACGCGACCGCAGACGCTAGCGAATCGCGCGATTCGGCAAAGTCTGACATCGGCCTACAATGGATATCACCCCGGTGCAGGTATCCAGCCAGATTGCTGTGAAAATCAGATTGCAACCTCATCAAAAGCACTAGAAAAAACCCTTTCTACACAAAGGTTCCTGCAGGCAACTCTCAGTCGAATCCAACAGAGCTTATGTGTACACTTTCCTCAAAGCTTGAGCTATCTTCCTTAATCTTCATTTTTGTCAAGAAATTCTCTCGGTGCGAAGAAAGAAGAGAAATTTCTACCATGTTCACACTCTTTGCCTCGTCAGACTGGCGCAACCCAAGTGATACTCACTTGCGAACATGCTGCCCCGTAAAGAACGTGGGGATCCTCAATAACTGTCAATTAGTGTAATGGGGTCAATCGTGTAATCAGGTCTGTTCGCGCCTGACTCACCACTGTTTAGCACTCGGCGTGCGCTTATGTTGCTGCAAGCAAAACATTCGCAGGATTCCCGCTGGACAACGCCCATATTAGCCAGAGGGCAGCAGTCGCAGCCAATTAAACGGAGCGTCCTACAGGTGACTGACAGGACACTTGTCATCTCCACCTAAGGTCCCTCTCCCTGTTTCAGAACCAAATTCGGGAATTCTTCGTCACCATCGCTCATTTTGACGCATGTGGGCTTGGCCCATGCGTGTTTCGCACTTCTTGGCTCAGGTCCTTTCCCCAATCCTGATCCAGCCTCTTATTGTAAGGGCTTCGGTCGATGGGAATCGCAACTACTCATGACTGAAAAATAAGCCTGCAAAATACATTTCCATTCTCTTGTACATTTTAGCCTTCTTCGACGGACAGGGTAGATACAAAACATTGTAGTATGTGCAAGAATGTGTCATATAAGGATGACCAAGGTTACTTCTTCTGCCATTTTTCCACAACTATGACAGTGAATTTATCAGCATATTAACCAGAAATTCTGATAACTAGTGGTACGACTGTTACAAAATGCCCGACATTATTATGTATTCCTATCTCCGTCCAAACCGAAGAACTGAAGAGTTTATCGTCTTAACTCACTCAAACAAATATCCCTTTTTACTGAAACTTTTTAACATAACAACATGGCAGGCAAGGTCTAGGTGTATTACGCGAAGAGAGAGCACACTGAAAAGCTAAAACAGCTAAACAATACACAACAATTAAAAATCTCAACGAAATCTCGTCATGTCAATAGCCGAGTAAACATAAAATTATAACGAATCACAAGCTAGGAATTGAAATTGATAAGATCACGATCAATTCAAATGAGTGACTAGATCACAACAACTTGGCCATGAAAGCAACCTCTTAATGGTACTGCGTCACATCACAATCACTTACTCCCAAAAAGGTTCTGCTTGGCTTGTTCCACCTGTAAATTACCATTTCATACATTCCAAATTTTTATGGAAGGTCGACGGACAAAAAACCTAACCATACCTCGTCAGAGTAATCAGGATCTTCTTTTAAAACATCACGAATTTGCATGAGCACTTCACCCATCACATTGGCACCTCTCCATTTTGATGGATCAGCGATGTTTGGATCATCTTAAATATGTTACATAAGTCGAGGTGAGTAGCAACTACCTGTACCAACGAAATGTTAAAAGATTTATGTTCCCGGCATCATATCAGTGGTTTATTTTCCACGCAGATAGGTCAGACTAGGGGAACTGAAATGGCAAAACCACGACCTCCTACCGTCCTGAATAATGCTAATCGCACGATCGTACTGAAGTGATCATGATGGGTGAGGTTTGAAGAGAAGAATTCTACTACAGGCCACTTTTATTTAACCTTAACTGCACGAGCTTTAAAAAAATTCTCAATTTGAAACGTGCATACTTGATAAGTTACAAAGTAGGATTGTGTAGGAACGTGTACCTACTTAGCATAAACATTCGAAATAGATAAACACACCAAGAATGAAAAGGAGAAAAAGATTTAATTGGTCTAGCAGAAATTCAAAAAATGCAAACTCAAATAAAAGGATAACAAAAGTATGAAAATGAAATTAGAGCTCATT